GTATTTTATTTAATTGTTATTTCAGTTTTTTTGTTAATATAATTGTTAGTTTTCAGCTAACTCTTTTGATTTTTTTACAGATTCTTTCATGTATTTCAAATCGATCATATTATGTAGTGGAAGTCCGAGCTAATGAAAAACACCACGAAACATTGTCAACTACCTTCGAACACTCATTATTTCTATATTTTGAAGGCTTCATATTTTCGTTTGGTATGGAATTTGTTTATGAAACAAATTGACGTATTGGTAAAAAAATAGTCATCATTGAATTTTTAATGAATCAAAATCTGGTCAGGATTTTTCAGCCGACCTACTCGCGATTTATGATTGAATATAATTTTGATTTTGAAACGTCTATCCCGTCACTCCCAAGCACCACCTCAAATGAATATCCACACTATCTATTCAGTTGAGGTAGCATGCCACATGTTGTTGAACCACAGATTCGCTTGCCCTATCATTCGACATTCTCGTTCACAGGAAGATTGCATCAACATTCCATAATCTAATAGCCACATTGAGAACCTCCGACCTGTTGTGAATGGAAACGACATTAAAGCCAATCTTCATTATACCCGACTGAGCGTTACCCTAATTCGAGTTGGCTCTGGCTTTTGCGTTCACATTTGTGTTAGGTCTTGGTCTTTTGATTTGCGATTGAGAACAGTTCAGTCACGCGATGAAAATTTGCGATGTTTGTGTTTTTGCCATAATCTGGATCGGTAATCGGATTCATAATTTAATTTTAGAATATTCCGGTTTTGCTCACGGCATTTGACTTTATAAATAGATACACCGGATCCAGACTAAGCATGAATCCGTTTTGAGTTACTGTTCAAGTTCGGTTATTGAACGAACACAAATTCAAATGACCTCAGATAATTCATTGGACTTTGAGGATATGGTAGGTATAATTAACTTCTATTATAGCAGCTGTATTTTCATTCACCACTGGAATAAAATCAAAGAACAGTAACAATATGGACTATAGAGCCCATATCATATCTTTGATGATTTAGAAAAGATTCATATGATTTCCACAGCCATTAGATTTGAGTCTGAAATGAATGGAGTAGTGACAAATATGTGGTTGGATCTTGAAAATGATACAAATGAATAGTACCTACCCAGTACCTATATTTCAAATATACCTAGAAAATAGTGACAGGTTGGCTGTCCTTGTTCATCTTTCACTACCTGAACCACTGTGCATGCTTTTTTGAAGAGTGAATTGGTTTGGGATGTGGGGGTTGAGCAAACCAGCCATCGGATACCTGCTTCCACGTAGCCCGGCTGGATACGGAAATGGCAGAATCACTTGTGATTTTGTTATTCCATAATTCAATGGTATCCCAACGATGGCTTGATCCTAAAGTGTTTGTATCCGTGCCGAGAGGATGAATAACACTGAGCCTATCAGCTGTCTTTACGGAATCTTCGAGATACCGGGCGCCCTCTCGTCAAAGCATCGCCTTGTCACGGTAATGCGGCCCTCTGCCGTGATTGACCTTATTTCCCTAACTGCTCGTGGGACTTTTATGGACAGAGAAATCTTAGAAAATCTTTCTTTCTTTCTTACGCTGAGTCTATAGAGGAGATGGATGTCGAGCTAATGTCTCCAACTGACCTCCCTGTAAATTTAGATCAGGAGCGAGAGCTTCTCAACTCTACAACTCCTGATCCAATATCTGAACCTGAAAAAAGGTTTGGTGGTGCAGCCAGGAAACGACTGAGTCGTCTTCCCAAGAAAGGGGTACCTTATGAAACCGCCTCGCACCAAACTTTTGAGCGGCGTACGCAGAATCTGTCTCAGGTGGAGGAACACACCTCCCATGAGCAGGTTATCGAACGTTTGCGCTCAAGTGTTGATTCACCAAAACCAGAGGAGAAAAAGCCCTGCACGGATGAATCTAAGGCACTGTCAGGTGTAGCTGACGTGCAAAAACCCTCATATGGGAAGGTTGTCGTGGGAATCAAGGTGGGAATCTCGCATCTTGACTATCCGACTACCTCATTAACGATGAAACAGCAGAGCAAATACTTTGTGCCTGCTTCGCTGGGGACTGAATCAGGGTTTTGAAGTTCTGCTGAGCCGTACTCTTACCATCTGACCTGAAAGACCTCTCAACATAAAACCAATCGGCTTCGTTAAGAAGCTGGATTTATTTGGTCGAGTGTGAAAAGGTGTGAGCCAGAATAAACCCTTGCGGGTTGCGGTGGAGGGTCGAATGTACCCACTCGCTTTGGACCTAACCTAACCTAACCTGTGTGTCAATTAGGAATTTTTCAATGCCTACCACAGAAATAGCTTTTGGATTCATCATGGGTAGCAATGAAAATGTTCGCAAAGGAAGGAAAATGTATGTCATCGAAATATATCATAGTCCTTTGAATCGTAGACCTATTAGGACTAGCCGTGTTTGTAGTTGCCATTCCAAAAATGACCTTTCCCATATTCGCATACAATATCGAAAAATGGGTTTTGAAAGTGTTAGTAAAAGTTCACTGGTTGGAAAAATCGACTTCAAAGAACGTTTCACGATTACTCAAGAGAAGATCGATTGTGATGGAGTTGAAAAGAAACTTTTTTTGGCATCAAATAAATAATTAAATTGCTTTTCGGAATATATTATATTCCTGAATTGATAAGAAAAAAATTCACGTCAAATATCTGAATTCTGTAGTTTGAACATCGTCATTAATCGTCAATTGATCTTTTGATGAATCAACGTAAGGAGTATAAAATGTATCTCATTGTACTGGTCACATTTGAACTATTCGATATTATACGTTATATATTTGTGATGCACTATTTGGAACCTTTGGTCTAGTAATGTATATTATTTCCCAACACTAAACCGTTATTCAAACACCTCGACACGTGTTTCGATCACTAAGTGATTATCTTCAAGAGGAAAATTGAACTGGTTCAATTTTTTATTTTATTAGTTTAATCAGTTCAATCTTCCGCTTGAAGATGATCACTTGTTTGGAAAACTTTTTTATAGTAGAAGAGTCTATTAGACTTCACAAAGGAGTACTTTGTTTATAAACTAGAGTATATCATTCACTGTGGAAGCTTGATTCTGAAACTGACCGCCTTGGGGAGCCTCGTTCATTTTTGATATTCGAGAATTGAGTTTGATGTCAATCTCATAGATAGAGTCTTCGCAAGAGAAGATGTCATCGTCCTTGTTTGATAATAAAACTATTCACAACTACCAATATCGCTTGATAGGTTGATCGAATTGGTTGACTATTAACGTCAAAGGTTGATTAATGATATTGTTTGGAAAACTGTTTTATAGTACTAGAGTCTATCAGAATTCAATAGGGAGTACTTTATGAGGAAATAGTTTCTGTTTATAGACTAGAGTCTATTATTATACATAACTAATTGTTGCCCGTGGTTTCGCCCGCGTCGAATTTGGTAGTTGTAGTACTATTTAGTAGTATGTTGCTGTATCGCTGATCGCTGCTGTTCCAATGTTTTGACAAAATCAGAATCAATGAACTTAG